CTGTGACTCAGCCACTGCCTTACCCATTCAACAATATTGGAATCCAAACTTAAAGATTGCAGTTTATTGATAAGCCTTCTATGTGCAACAGTGTCAAAAGCCTTACTTAAATCTAGGTAAGCAATGTCTACAGCATCACCCTGATCTATTATTTTAGTTACCCAATTAAAAAAATCAATAAGATTAGTTTGGCATGATCTCCCTGAAGTTAATCCATGTTGTCTCTGATCTTGAAATCCATGTGATTTTAGATGTTCAACAATCCTATCCTTTAACATGGTTTCCATCACTTTCCCCACTACTGAAGTAAGGCTTACTGGCCTATATTTGCCTGACTCCTCCTTATTACTTTTCTTGTGAATGGGCACAACATTCGCTAACTTCCAATCTTCTGGGACTACTCCTGTTAACAATGATTGGTTAAATAAATCTGTTAATGGTTTTGCTAGTACACCACTAAGCTCTTTTAATAACCTTGGGTTTATTCCATCAGGTCCCATTGACTTATTTGTCTTTACTTTTGACAGTTGAAATAGAACCTCTTCCTCTGTAAACTCACATGTAACAAATTACTCATTTGTCCTTTTTCTTAACTGAGGCCCCTTTCCTTCATTTTCATCTGTAAATACTGAACAAAAATATTCATTGAGGCATTCAGCTAGACCTTTATCCTCTTCTACATACCTTCCTTCTTTTGTTTTTACTCTAACTAATCCTTGTTTTACTTTCCTTTTCTCATTTATGTATCTAAAAAATGTTTTGTCCTGTTTTTTTACTGACTGTGCTTTTTTTCTCTTCTGTGTGTGATTTGGAAGCTCTTTTTTATAACTTGCTTAGCCTCTTTCTGTCTAATCTTAGAGATCTGTCTATCTTCCTCACTTTTTTTTTTTTTTTATAATTACTAAATGCTAACTTTTAGTTTTTTTTACTATTTTGGCCACATCTGCGGAGTACAACAGTGTATGCTATTTTTGAGTTAGCTGACACTTTTTTTCACCATAAACAAGATCTATAAATCACACTTGGCCAAGGCATTGTCTTTGTAAAGGAAAGCACAAATGTAATAAAGTATATTTCAAACTACATATCAACAAACTGCGAAGATGGTGAACTCCTGACATATTCATTTACCTATCAAAATCTAAGTCATAGACGCAGATAACTAAATTATATACACATCCTAGTTTTCGAAAAACTGAATTAGTGAGAATGCCCTGTCCATGTTTTAAATTTTATGAACGAAACATCCTGAGGTCTGTATTGCTAATAAACAGAAGCTACATCTCTCTTGGTTACATACACAGAATGCTAACAACAACCTAATTGGCCAGATGCCAGCATTTTGAACTTGATAAATAAAAATACTGGAAATATGGCACAGGCCAATTAGACACTAAATAGATTTGTCTTTTGGGCTTCTTGTAGGATATTATGATCAGATTAATGTAGATGTTTATGTAGCGGCCATGGAATATTAAAATAGAACAATTGCAGCAGCATATGTTAATCCAGTAGATCTTTCCTAAATACATGTGAAAATGTTTTTACCTACAAGTCTTTGTACACACAAAGAATGAATAAAAATAGATTTTTTTTCCTGCTTCTCTTTTTTCCCTCTATTTCTAACTTTTCACTTGATCTGTGAATAAAATCATCATTTTGTGATTTTCCCCTAACCATCAATCATCTCTTTTTCCATCATCTCTTTTTTTTTTTTTTTTTTTAGTGCCATACATAGAATTTAGTGCTATAGATCAAAACGAACATGCTCGTCCATAGTGCTTATTTTGTTTTCTGTAATTTGGGAAATTTCAACTCAGAGTTAAATGACCACTATAGTGCCAGGAAAACATACTCGTTTTCCTGGCACTATAGTGCCCTGAGGGTGCCCCCACCCTCAGGGTCCCCCTCCCGCCAGGCTCTGGAGAGAGGAAGGGGTTAAAATCTTACCTTTCTCCAGCGCCGGGCGGGGAGCTCTCCTCCTCCATAGCGACGTCATCGGCTGAATGCGCACGCGCGTCAGGAGCCGCGCACGCATTTAGCCAGTTCATAGGAATGCATTTACAATGCTTTCCTATGGACGCTGGCGTCTTCTCACTGTGATTTTCAGTGGTCTGGGAGTGGTGAAGTGGTCTGGATACCTATAGTGGTCCTTTAATCCTAGAAATTATGTGCCAGCTCAATGATTGTACCACACACAGGAAACGTACAATCGATCCGGTGAACACATTTCAGAAAATAATTAGTGAGCTCATAGACATTGGTCTGAAATTGGGATATTTTGATAACAGTGTGGCCAAGTACCTGTATGTTAAATATCCGAAAAATCTGGTGATATATACACTCCCCAAGATTCACAGAAATGCTGAAAACTCACCAATTGCAAAATGCATGGCCTATCTGAAACTGTCGAGGCAGCAGAAATACCGCACTTCAGGGGTGTACCTGGAGCACTTGGCACCCGGGGCAGATCCTATATTTGGAAACCCCCCAGCTTAAAAACATAAAAAAAAAACACAAATTTTTTTAAATGTATTTAGCACTGAGTAGTGTTTGTGTGTTTGAATGTAAGCATGTTTTTGTATGGAGTATGTGTGAGTGAATGTACGGGTGTGTTTGCACCTGCTGGCATTTGAATGCAGGCGTGCATTTTTCTGTAGTGTGGTTTTTGAATATGGTGGTGTGTTTTTATGTAGTGTTGACATTTGGCTGCAGAGTTTTATTTGTGTGTAATATAGGTGAAATGCTGAGATGTATGCACATATGCACATATACACATACTCACATATACACACACTGGCACACATACACAGACACATAGGTACACACATGCAGTTACATAGAAACACAGTCATACACTGACACACACAGAGACACACACGGGCACAGACACACATACAGATAGAAACACACACATACAAACACACTGATACAAATGCAGAAGCACAAACAGATACACAGACACACAGATATACATACACAGACTGACACACACAGATACACATATACAAACACACATACAGATACACAGACACGCACGTATAAGTGTGTGTCTGTTTGTATAGTGTATGTAGTGTGTTTGTATAGTGAATGCAGTGTGTGTTTGTATAGTGGATGCAGTGTGTGTGCTTGTATAGAGGGTAATAGTAAGAGGGAGGGGGTGATGGTGTGAGGGAGGCGGGGTGATGGTGAGAGGGAGGGGGTGATGGTGATAAGGATGGGTTGATGATGAGAGGGAGGGGTTGATGATGAGAGGGAGGGCAGTGATGGTGAGAGGGAGGGGGTGATGGTGTGAGGGGAGGATGATGAGAGGGAGGGGTGATGGTGATGATGAGAGGGGCTAGGGGGTTGATGGTAAGAAGGAGGGTGGGTATGAGGAAGAGGGGTGATGATGAGAGGGTGGGGGTGATGGTGAGAGGGAGGAGGTTGTGACGGTAAAATCCTTTACTCCATCAAGCATTCCCTTCTTCCCATAAAATAGAATCAATAAGTAATCCACAGAGTACTAAATCGCTGGTATCGCCAAATAATCCACACATGAGCCAAAGCTTAATGCTGGAACAAGACTGATTTTTAATGACACACACTCTGCTTTTATGCAATTCTCCCGTGCCAGAGAGACGCCCACAGACAATTATGAACTACCCAATCACACACTGGTTACATCCCACACATCTCCTCCCCTTAGCCTGAGAGGTAACACAATTAACTGTACAGTTTAAAACATACTTTTTACCCAACTTTCATAACTCTAAAACTATACATCCAATATTAATAAAAGTCACATATTATTAATCAGCACATTTCAAATACAAACATACCCCAAAATCATTCGAATCCGTTCAGCCGTTTGGGAGATATTTATAAGTCATCTTTGACTGACCACATTTTCATGCCCAAAAAGAGTTCCATAGAGTTGGGCTGTGCGGTCGGTCAATTTCACACAGAAAAATGTCTAAGTCTCATTTGAATGCACGAACGAGGCCGTTCGTGCAAACAGCCCAGTCTAACAGTGTGTTTGAATTGTCGAACGCACTTCGATTCCAGCCGAAGTGTCGAAGTTCCTGAGAAGGTAAGGGTTAGCGGTGTTCGTGCAAATGCGTAGCCGATTTTAGTTCCAAAGATTCAGTGGCACGCACCGCTGACCGTGTTCGACTAAATTAAAATGGCGGCCACTTCGACTACTTTGGCACTTCGACTGCATCCGAAATGCCAATTTAAAAGTACAAATCCTTTCTCTGGGAGTTAAAGGGCCAGCAGCAGCACAACGAAAATCCATTATGCCCAAATCTTGTATTTAAAGGGCCAAACCTCCCAGGGACCATAATCACATGGCAAGAGACTGGCAAGCAGTCCTCTCCAGGCACAAGTGGCGAGGTTAATTTCGCCACAGGGGTGATGTGAGGGAGGGGGGTGATGATGAGAGGGGGTGATGTGAGAGGGAGGTGATGTGAGGGAGGGAGGATGATGGTGAGAGGGAGGGGGGTGATGATGTGATGAAGGGGGGTGATGATGAGAGGGAGGGGGTGATGTGGGGGGGTGATGATGAGAGTTGGGGGTGATGTGAGAGGGAGACGGGGGTGATGGTGTGAGGGAGGGGAGGTGATGGTGAGAGGGTGGTGATGGTGTGAGGGAGAGGGGGTGATGGTGAGAGGGAGAGGGG